CCAAAACCAAGAAAAACTTGAACTTCCTCACAACAGCCATTTTCTAGAACTTTCTGTTTCACCAAATCACTCCTGTCATAAAAGCTGAATGTTCAGAAAGAAAAAGGAAGTGTTAACAATCTCATTCTGATTAATAAGTATATTATATTTCAGCTATATGGTACAGAAGGAAGATTATTTTCTATAATTACCATGGACAACAGACAAAGACTACACTGGGGTTTTTTTTATTGGATTATTACAGCATGTGAAATCTGATCTGGTCTTGACTACATGTAAGGCGCATTAATAGTGATCTTTGTCTAGCATGGCAAAATGAGAGAAGAAATTGAATTTACTCATGTCCTGAAACAATGTTTTAAAAATTTTCAGTGGTCTTTGAACATAAATTCATATGGAGTTATTCATAGAGCTGTTACTCATTAGAAAACCAAGCAATAATCATTACCAACAATCTTGGTCGAGCACAGCAGATGCCTTTCTCAATATTTTAGAATTATATACGACCTGTATCTCTGTGCTTTGGTCAAAACTTCAGTTTATATCAATATAAGTGTGGAATGTGCATTGTCTTTTCCACACCGTTGTTTGTGTTAAAAGATAGATTATAAATTACCAGGAAGATGAAAGTGATCTTTGGTTTAGATGAAAGCATAAGGTGACAGACTTGTGCAAAAGACAAAAGGAAATCCAGCTTTCCCATGCCACCATCAAAAATGTCCTTTTTTACATTTCAAGAAGCTTTTGTGGCAGTGTGAATGATGCCAGTGACTTGTACTGAAGCTCTAATTCTGGTAAAAGAAATTGACTCAGCTCAAACTCTTTTATGTCTTGTTTATGGACATGACATTTGTAGTGAAATCATTAGTGTTAGTAAGCTTGTACACATTCATCAAAGTAATTCATACTTCTTTGAAGATGATTGATAACAATCAGTTTTTTTTTAAATCAGGTTACAGATAGCACTTAGTAGCATGTACCAATAAAATTATGAAAACAAATTATTTTTCCCAGCAACAGCTTAGACTGTCCTTTCGTATCATGGATCTCTTTAATCTCTTTCATAAGGAGTTATAAGCCATATTACCACATCCCTTTTTTGAATGGAAAAATTTTCTGACCATGCATTGGGCAGAGATCTATAGTTTGATATTCTTTTGGTGTTTCTCAGATGCACTCAGCTCCTGTTTACCACAATAAATTGTTGTACCATTAATCACTAGCCTGGTGCTAACTTGTGAGCTGTGTTTACCCACAGCACCTGAAGGTTAGCTGGAGGGGGCAGACATCAGCATCTCTCCGCAAAATTACTTTAATAAAAACTGCTAGTGAATTCCAAAACTCATTTTGAGGAACTATGACTGAAATTACTACAGTTATTAAAATTTCATTTTGCTGACATACATGCCTTGTTGAACTTTACCTCCCTGTGTCTCATGATGGAGCTCTAAAACTGCATTTTACTCTTATATTTAGAAGGTTTTTGCTTACCTGTCCTGATGCAGTACATTTGGAGGTGACGGATTTGAAAGAATAATAATAGTATACAGTGTTTCAACATCAATACAATGTGAGCAGTCTTACTATTATTTTACTTTTAGACCATTTAGACTATTTTTAAAATTTTTCATGTTGTCAAGAGGGAAACCAGCTGTGCTTTGAAAGGCAGAATAAATCTAATAAGAGGCAGTCCTGAAACATGCTCAGTGTTTGATTTAATGATCTAAAGGTATGTCTGAATAGGCCTTTTGAAGATTTTTCTTTCCAAAATTTAATCCACTTGCAGAATAGTTCACAAAGAAAGCCCTATCAGATATTTTAATGATTTTTCCATGAGCTCTCTTTATATATGTATTGGTTTTTGTTTTGAATGTGCTTGGACTTAACATCATATATAATGTTTGTTCTCTCTTTTATATAAGTTATCCAGATTTATAAGGATAGTGACAGGTATTTTCTCTGACTTTTTTTCCTATGACATTTTCCTGTTTGGCTCTGTGAAACTGGAATGCTTTGAGGAAGCTTAAACCTCTTGCTTTCCCCAAAATACTCTGCAGATAGAAGGGTCTGAACCAAGCTGGACAGTCTGTCTTGAGAGGCATGGAACTTGATCTTAGTGTTATCCTGGAGATGAAATTAATAATGCTGACCAGAGTTTTTTATAAAACCAAGGTTGAAAATTCTGACCCACTCAAAACCAAAGACAGCAATAGGAAATCAAAAGTGATTTGGTGTTTACTTACTAGGAGCTAATGGGGTGGTAGCAGCAGTTGGCCTCACAGTTGGCTCTACATAGTTTTCTTCATTACACTTTCCTTTCGTCAGGCCAATGTCATCCATGGCAATATCACTGGGACCACGCCTTTTAAAGGCATCAAAAATAACCTGAATTCAGGAAAAAAAAAGAGAATTTCATAATTTAATTAAGAATTTTCAACTTCCTATGCTGTACCATTCTGTCTTTTCTTGAATGCTCTTATTTACACTGTAATCTACACTGGTGCTACCCTCAAGGGAAGGCATTGGGGATGCGACAGAATTTCTTACAAAACAAAACAGCACTATTCAAACTGAGTGGATCATTCTAATAAATGTAATTTAAATGATGAACATGATTTAAAACTCTTCAATACCTTGTCTTTTTATGTATATTTTTAAAATGTAATGTAAAAAACAATTCTGCATTCCTCATCAGCCCAAACTTCTGAACTAATTACACAAAAAGCTAAAATTAATCTCATTTGTTCTTAACTGCTCTTTAGTAGCCACATATTTAAAGTAATCCTTCAAACAAGGAGTTAGTGCTGGTGAACTACACTTAGATTTAGCAATCTTCTAGAGATCATATATGGTTACATGTTTCCTGGAAATCTGATGCAGCCAGGTCACAGATGCATTTATTTCCTCAGTTGTTAAATGCATCTTTCTAGCAGTACTTGCCAGAAATAAATCAAAACTACTCCAACGGGACAAACCATCCCAAATGCCTATAAAAATAAATTGTTTTCAAGCGAGAGATGCTGAAAGAATTGTCTGGATTAAATCTCCTCCTTTTCTTTACAGGTAAGTCAAGTCAGTTGTAAATCATATGTTATCAAAACCACTTCCATCTGCAACACACTTCCAGTGGATTAATCTGTAAGTAATTAGTGAAAACACAGATTCACAACCTGAAGCAATTTAAACTTAAATCTTCTCATAGCTAAAAGCTTCATTCACATAACCATCACATAAAATCAAGATCATCACAGAACATCACCATCATATAAAATCAAGATTTTATATTCCACAGCAGATTTTGATAAGCTTTGAACACTCTTGTTTTGAGAGAAGCTCTCATGATAACATTCATTGTTCCTTGACAAGGATTATGTTTTCTGTCTTATGAAATATTAATACTTTAAATTCCAGAGTAGGGAAAAGGGGCTGTGAGAATTCAGCTGGGGATTCCAATCTTCCGCATGCTAATATTTATTTGATGGCAGGAATTTTTAAATTATACTAAGTATTATCTTTGGAACAGTGGAATTTTGGGTTCATTTTGCAGAAATCTCTGATATCAGTTTAGCTAAAATAAATTAAAAAAAAAATCCAACGGCTTAACAAACCTTAAAATCAGATGTTTCATTTAAAGTTACTTGTCCATAATTCCAGTTGTTTCCATAGTTTCCTTCTTTCTCGAAAATTATCTTTTCCTGACCATGCTCATCACTTATGCTAACTCTTAAACGGTAAACATTAATCCCAAACATGAAATACCTAAGGGGGAAAAACATTTTGGTATTATTAGAAAAAGTCAGATTTCATGAAAAACTCTTTTTATTTTATGTTTTATGAAATTAGCATTAATTTGAAGCAAGCATGAAAATAATATTAATTGTATCCTTAAATTACACATGGAATTGTAAAGGCCTAGTTATGTTTCATGAAAATAAAACATTTCAGGGATTCGTAATATTATTTTTGTATAGAAATTAATATTGGATGAAGGGTGAAAAAGAAAATACATTGTAGCTAACTGCAAAAGTCAAAGCTATGGAGTTCAACTTCAGGCCTGGAGCTGAGACTGATTGTGGAAATTCAAACAGAACCAAGCTGGTGTTGCTGGCACACTGAGTGGGATTAATACTTTAAATGAAAGAAAGCCCTCTGGGTATATTCTTAAACAAAACACAAGTTTAGTAATTATGTAACAATACCAAAAGCTTAGACAATATGTATCTGAAGGGACCAAAGGCAAACTCAGAATTCTGACTCGCTCTTCTATGAATCCAGGTCCAATGGGTGTTGAAATATAAAATCCTGCAAGAAAATGATCACATTTTAGCCAGGACAGAAGAAATTTATTTTTTAGTTTTTCACTTATTGAATTATAATTTTTATATTTAAAATAACATGAAGCACAGATAGTGTTGCATGATTTGGAAGATTCCAGACACGATTATCCCAAGATATATTAATTGTCAATGACATATTAAATTGAGCTTTTAAGCTTGGATACTCCTCAGAACTAGATAAGCACTGGGAAACTAGTTCTTTCTAAGTCAGTGGGAATCCTGCCTTATATTCTGTGAAGGCAGAAATTATCCTGCCTTTATGTTCGACATTTCTTGTGATTTTGCAGAAGAATTTCCCAACAATTTTATAATTCGAATTCATGTGACAATGGGAAATATGGATTGTGTGCTGAGAGGGTAACAGAATGACTATGTGAATATTTTATAGCAAGGTGAGGGATTATAAACAAACAAACTCCCTCTTTATTTGTGAAATTGTGTTTATAGCATTTTTTCTGAGATAATTTGTTGCAGCTGGGAATTTGGACTTCTTGTTGTCATATGAGGTCAGGCCATAGAAGCACTGGGATTTGTCATAAGAAATGCAAACTTAGGCAGCTTTAAAATAAAATTCTTTCTTTATTGAAATAATGGCTGTAATGTCATATTTTCTTCTATCTAGCTAATACATATATATGCAAATATTATAGTAATGGAATTTTCAAATTAATATAATTATAATTTTAATTATATTTATTAAATTATATGCACTGTATTCTGTTATTTATACTTCCAGATTATCTAGTTTTTTCATGTGGCAGGCTAAAATTCCTGAAAATTAATCTGAAATCTGAATCAGGCCTTTAATTTCCTCTGTTGGCTTAGAGAGCCTGCAGTAAAATAGACACGGTGTCTAACTTAAAGAAAAAAGTTCTTCATATAGTCAAAGGGACAGTTCTCTGTCTATGTTTAATCAATTCTCTGAGCATTCAGAATCAATTTTTAGTGTATTAAGGCCTCTATTTTCAGGAGCAGAAAAAAATCCAAATAAAAAAGTTTCACTGAATGTGATGGCTTGATAATAATGATGCAATTTATTCAAAATACAGGTCACAGAAATTTAAACATGAAACACAAGAGTAACATTACACACAGGGACATTATATATGTCAGCTTAGACTTGGCACAGGAAAACAGAGAGCACCTAAAATGGATTAATATTTTTGAGAGAGAGAAATCATCGTCAAGTGCTTTGTTAAACAAATTTTTCATTATTTCGTCGGATTTGCATTCTAGAAGCCAAGTGCGAAGGCAAAACAGTGTTCTGGAGATTGTTTAGAAAATGTGAATTTACTCAGAATAATTTCTGTCTGATAAAAAGTGCAGAATAATATTTTTCTTTTCTGAGGAGTAACTTCTTTCAGAATAATTTGCAATTTTTCCACTTATTTGTCACTGAATAAATTTCATGTAAGTCTTGTATAGAATACCTATAGCCATTGCAAAATCCAATTGTATTTTATTTGGTTTTAGCTGGACTGAGAAATCAACTGAGAGAGTGATTGTTTGGCTTTATTGAAGCAGAAAAAAATTTAAGGGATCTAAAGCTGATATAAGGATTCATAATACAGTCAAAATCCAATTCCTATCAGTATTATCTCTTTAAATAAATTCCACTTTTGATATGACCACACTTCCAATTAAATTCTTTAACTGTAACAGTTAAATATCTGTGTTTGTGTGTTTGGCACAGTTGGTGTGTTTGCTGTGCAGTAACTGGGGACACAGATGCTCCCTGTAAACTGCAGGTCAACTTTATTTGAATCAAAATTATTTTGTGACAACCATGAGGATGTCAGCTGTAGAGAAGGATGAAACAGAACTGATTTGCCTAATAATGCAAATATACCTTTTTTCCTTCAAGTTAAACATGCAGGTTTTTGACCTATAACATTTTATACCCAATAGAAATTCTTTTCTCAGATAAGGCATTTTGATGTAATAAAATCATTGAAATTTTTAGTACCTCATACTTAAATAATTTTACTTTTTTAAATTTTTTTTATTTTTTATTTTTTTTTAGTTTTGATATACTTCCACAAGATGGCAATCAGACAATCAGGACAGAACATTTTATCTGGTAGCCCTGACATTTTTATGGCAGGATAATACAACATCCTAGTAATACACTATGAAGAATAATGCAGTGATATAAGCGAAATCAAGTTTTTCCTTTAATCTTCAAGCCATTTTTTTGATCTTACCTGAAAAGTTGCCAAATGTATGATCAAATTCAGGACCACTCATGAAGGGGAAGGTAGGACCCTGAACTCTGTCCCAGTCTGAATCATCGTCTAAATCTTGTATCCAGAAACAAAAGCCATCTTCAAAAGTGCAATTGATTTTCTCATAATCTGTGAATAAGAACTTCTAGTAAATTATAGATCACAGAGATGGTAAGTTTTTTCTTAGAATTACGTGGGAAGAAGTGATGAATAATGTAAATTTTTAAATACATTTGTAAACCAGCCCACAGTGACTTAATTTCCTCTTTTTGCAATGCAACAAAATTACTCAAATAAGTGTGTTGTTTGTACTTGTTAATAAAACACTATTTTTGAAGGGTAGCCCAACATACTCTTGCACTCATTCGCCAACCTTCATTTCTGCTCCTTCTTTTCCTCTTTTCTTTGCCAAGGCCTGGATTGCTCCAGCAGAAAGGGCTCACCATTAGAGCAGAGTGCTGTGCTCCACGCCCCTGGGATGCCCCTTCCTTTCTTCTCATTTGCTCCTTTTTTCTCACATGGCTTTGCTGCAGCATCCTCATCACTTTTATTCTCATGGTATTTCAGTGTCTGCCCGTGGTGCCTTAATATGCAGTTTAGGCAGGGCTTCCACATGGCAGGAACTTGTTTTCTAAAGGGAAAACCTCTTCCCTCTGCACCTAGAGGGAACTGGCCCTTGAAACACGGATGAAAAATTAAATTTTACAATTCTAATAAAGATCTGTAGGGAATGGGTATGTTTATTTACAGAGCTGTGGATGCATGTTGGGACTCATTGCCTTTTAATGGACATGCGTCCCTCTGAGAACTCTTGATCTTTTTTTATTACTTTTACTAATTTCTATATGCATAGAATTTTACAATAGGTTAATGCATATTCATTTTGCTGATTCCACATTACACTTACAACTAGTTACACTTGTACTCAGTTTTTGTCAGAAAGTACAGAAAGAATTCCTGGGTCACTCTGCCCTGTCTGTTTCAAGGTCTGAAGAGTCTTTCTTATCTGTTATTTTTTAGTGTGGAAATTTGCATTCTTTCTCTTTAACTGGGGTAGTTTTGCTAGGCCTACATTTACTAAACTAAACAGAATATTTAGTAAGCTTAAAGTGGCACATTTCACTTAAATCTAAATGAATTTTTACTCTGTTAACTTTTCACTGTGTCTCACCCTCTAGATGCTTCCTGCAGCATATTCCATCCCAGCCACATTCCCTGTTCACCCCCTGCTCCAAATTTAGCAGCCAAAGAAGCCTTCACTTATCCAATTACCAAAGCATGAGTCACATTGCTTCATTTTGTTGTCACTGTAGATTTACCTCATCCAGACTTTTCCTAAGGCCTGTTTTTTCCTGAGTGTTATTGCTAAATGTTGTTCTGATTTTTTTTTTTTAAATATAAAGATATTGAGCTCCATGATTTCATAGTGTTGATTAGTGAACAAATTGTCTGAGAGGAATCTGATTGAGGTGCAGACACAGTTTTATTTACACAGATGAGTTTGTTAAGACATCACCCTACTGCTTGATACAGGCCTGTAAACCTGTGAATAGCCTTACAGAAATAATTTATTTGATCTATAAAACAGTATGAATTTTTTCAAAGTGGATCTAGTTTTTGGACTGAGGTTAGAAAATGCTGTTTCCCTTTCCACCTCCATTTTCTCAAACTGAAAATGTAGATTCACCAAAATTTTGTGATAAAAAATAAACAAAAAACCCAAACACACCCTCTCTCACACACACACGCAAAACACTTACTGTTTAGTTCACTCGCATTAAATGCAGTGTATGTTGCATTGAAGCCATTATAATTCTCTGAATAATCAGACATAAATTGTGCTGTAGCCTCATGAGAAAAAATGTAAATTGTTTCAAGATTGGTCCCTGACAGAGAAGCTGAAAACAAATAAAAAAAACCCATACAGTCAGAGAGAAAATAATCACAAGCACATTAAAATTTCCAGTGTTGTCACAAAAGCACAGTGTATTAGTTTAGTCTTAAGGGATGGTTTTCCTATTTTGCTGCAATCCTGCAACAATAGCTTCAAACTCTTTAAGCATTTAGCTGTTTGGCTGACATATAAATATTCTGTATGTTCCATCTCTCATATCCACCAATATGGATATCAGCTAGTCTTTTAACCATTTCTCATTTCCATTGTCTGTCTATTTCCAAAAATAAGGATAAATAATAATATGTCTTTCTGATATACTTAACTTCCTATTATCTATCTTCAGAATATGTTTTCAGTTTCTGATGGAATTCAGCTGAATAGGCTGAGTCTTTTGGAAAATGGGTACAATCCCAATTTTCAGAGTAGAACATAGAGACAGAGATAAGGTATCATCTGTATTCCAAGATGTGAGGAAAACAATGCCATACTTGTAAAGGTTTTTGGGATGTTTTGTAACAATTTTCCCACCCAAGTTCAGTTTAGATGCTTTAATTTTATGATACTCTGTGTGATACTACAGGAACTTCTGACAATATATTTCCAATGAAACATGGATCCCACAAGACCATGAGGCTGATGAAGTTATCAAGATCATTCAAATAAGATCTCAAAAAACAAGTAGAAATTTCATAATGTGTAAAGGTTTTTCTGGTCAAATTAAAAGGTAGACAGGTATATTGAGATTAATTGTCTAACAGGGTAACTTTATGTAGATCCAGTCTTTCTCCTAAACATACATGTGCAGTTTTTGATACCCAAAAATGCTTATTTTATCACTTAGATTTTAGTCTTATTAGCTGAAGAATAAACTTACCTCTTAAAATCTTATTTTGTCCTAATCCTTCAAAAATACTCAACACATCTTCATATGGTTGTGTTTCAAAAGAAGTGAAGTTCAGTTTAATGGACAACCCTTGAGGCACTCTAAGGCAACAAAAGAAACCCAAACTCAAAAGTGAAAATGTATTTGACTTCGGTAAAGTAATTGAAGTCATTGAGTGCTTGAATGAAAAGTTCAGAATCAACATGAAATTATATTAATCAAGATTATTAATCAAGATGATCTATTTTTCTAACTTGTAAAATTGCCAAAGGAATTAGGTGTAAACCTTTTGTAACAGTGTGTGCACACCTTTACACACTGGAATTAACTGTACTCTAGAAACTGAATGTTCTGAACTCTAGAATGCGATTATCAGTTCTAAAAGAGTTTTTTTGGAGGTTTTGGCTGGGTTTCATTGTCCTCTGCATCTCATTGAATTGAAATAATTTTTTCCATACCTATGACTCTTAGGTACCTCACTGCTCAGGTAGACTTCCCAAACCCAGAGGAACAGTATCAAGGTATGAATATGAGCAGCAAGATATCAAAATCTCTCTCCTGGAAGTCCAGAACACTGTCTCTTATGACAAAAACAGGATTTGCATGCAGATTTGATGATCTCAAACCCTCTCTTTGGGAAATTGTTACAAATCCGAATCATCACACACAAAGTTTAATGACAGAAGTCACTTGGCCTTATTTTGCTACAGTTATGCTCAATGAATATTCTATATTTAATTTGTTCTCCCATTCGACATATATGGTAGTCCAAATTTTAAAACACTACCAGCTTAGCTACCACCATGTGGGGTTTTTTTCAGAATTCAGAGACTCAAAGAAAATAAGCTTTTAACAGCAATCTGCTGGTGTTTATCAGTAATGATAAGTAGAGAAGTGTGAAATAAATACTTAGATATTTTGCCTTTTAAAATTTGTTGTTGTTGTTGTAATTTTATATTTCTCCAGATGGAAGAAATAGCTTTGGTTAGAAAAGTAAAACATATAGTTGGAAGGTTCAGGAAGCTAAACTTTCAGGGAAATATTGAGCATATTGCTCTTTAAGGAGAGGAGATTGGATCTTCATTTGGAGTTAAAGGGCATAAAAATGTAAAAGCTCTTCCTAAAGGTAATGGGAAAATATTTTTAGACAAAGGCAGGCACAAGAAAATCTAATATCGGATGTATTATAGGTTGACTTTTAACACATTTTATAGGGATAATAAAAAACATAGGTTACTGGAAAACCCAAAAGTTCCCTCATGGAAAAAAACTCTATTTGAAACAAAAAATTGAGTGCCACTTTGAATTTCTTAGGGCTTTACTCTCAGTGTTGCCTGATTTCTTAAAGTAATTAAGTGGAAAATAAATTCTGATGGTTGTTTTTTTGTCATTTTTCAATCTCTAATTGCACATATCTGCAGAACCTCTACCATATAATTTGCAATTGCTCATGATTCTTTCCAAAATGAAGTTTGTACTAGCTACATACCTAGTATGGATATCTACCTAGTACAGTGCTTCCAGCACTTGGAGCAACATCAACAGTTTAGAAGGAGGGAGGGCACTTGGGCCATGTTTATTTATTGCGCTCAAATTCTGCAATGCCATGAAATGAGGAACAAGGCAGACATATTCTGAAGGGAAAAATTCTTGTTCTTTTCCTGGGACACACCTGTATTTTAAAGCCAGGTGCTGCCAGTAATTACTGGTGAACAGTACCGCTGAGGAGGAGAAGGAAAAAATGTACTAAACAGAAGGAAAAACATGATTTCAAGGTGAAGATGAAAGTTCTGAACAAAATCAAAGCCTAGCACTTTCAAAGGAGCCCTTGGAATGAGAAGGTCAAATCTTTTGCAATTTTAAAGGCAATTTCTTAATCTCCTTTGAAATCTTCTGCCAAATTAATACTTCTCAGAATCAAAGAACAGCCATTATTATGGCTGCCTTTCAAAGCAGTGACATCTGAATTAACAATCACAGAAGGGATTTTTAGGACCTTATAACTTATGATCATCCAATTTTTTTAGATATGTAGTTTTGGATGAGATTTATCATCATATAGTGTGGCTATCTTTTTTCTCCTTGGCCTAAGAACTGCACCTAGAGAGTCAAAATCAAAGAGTTGTCCCTGTCTGTAGGTATATATCCTTGATAAAAAAAAATCCACTTCTTTTGCCTAAGGCTTAACAGGCATTTGGTGCTATTATGTAAAATACTAACTATGCAATTCTAAAACATATTTCTAAATTACATAGGTACACAGGTACTCTTAATTCACATATGAAACGTTTACACATACGTGATAACGTAATTCTTGAAAACTCTCTTAAATAAGAATTATCTCATATAAAGCCATTATGTGATGACTACTATTTAATATAATCCTTTGGGAAAAAAAAAATTGAATTATTTTGAGTTATGTGATTTATTTTGAACTTACACTTATGTTCTTCTGGATGTATATAACACACAAAATTTCTTAAAATTGTACCTAAGAATTTTTGTAAGTGGAAAAATTATTGAATTATTGATATAGTTATTGAGCTTATGCATGAAAGTTTTTAAAGAAAAGTTAAATAAACACAGGAGAAAATGGTATTACATATTTTCTGTGCTGGGGTACTTGAGAATAAAAGCAAATAGCATAAGACTATTTTGTAGGAAACAAGATCACTTCATAATAAAAAAAATGTTAGCTACAAAATTATTGGAAAATGGCTTACACTATTATCCATTGGCAAACAATGTTTTCATTATATGGCTTTGGATAATTCATAGAGTGAAAAAACCCAGAGGAACCAGTCAACATGAATTTTCCATCACAAACTGCAGCTGTAAAGATATAATGAAGAACATTTGTCAGAATGACATTTGAAAAACAGAATTAGAGCCAAAATGTGGGTGACCAAATGTGGATATTGATTTACATGGATTACCTTGGAACTGCTTTGTAAGCAACAATAAGAAGAAAAAATAAAATACAATATCAACTTATTCCCATTTCTAATTCTTATCACTGTTTGATCTCAAAGTGCTATATGAGAAGAAAAGCGTACAGAAAATTCATTTTTAAATTAGACACAATCCAACTAATCCAAACTAGTCTAAACCAATCCAAATATTTCAAAAACAGCAACTGGATTTAGATAATCCAACACTTTCATTTTACTCTATACTTTTATAAGGAAACAGGATCTTGCCTTACCAGTTCTTATCTACAATGACTCTAAATCAGAAAACTGTGTTTGTACTACCAGAGACATGTGAATAAATACAAAAGGAGACATGGTTGACTATTGTTATCTCTACTTTTATGAGCTTCCTGGTTCCTTGCCTTATATATTACTGAGTACTTGAAGAGATAAATGAATCTCCCAGTTTTCCTGCAAGATATTGAATTCATTCAGATGAGATAAATGTCATTTATCATAATCTATTTTTTCAAAGGGCTTTCAATAATTTTTTTTTCCTTGGTTTTGGTATATCATTCTATGAAAATTCTTCACTCCAGAAAAAGAAAAAAAAGAGTATTTTTAAACCTCAGCAAGACTGGAAATGATAATTCATGTAGAGATTTTTATTTCAGCAGACACTGAAAAATTGCTGAAGGTTTTGCTTCATCTCTTGAACATTATGTTAGGAATCTGTCTAATCATGTTTTCTCTTCAGTTGTTAAGAAAAGTATGATAGGGTTTCCACATAAGGATAAAATCAGTACCACACATGTGCTGAGGCTTAAAAGGACTTTTTTTTCCCTATGATACACTGTGGTATCTGGAGAGGTAAGGACAAGTTCATCAATTTGAGGCAGATGATCAGAAATTATACAGAGCTTTTAATTAATTTCAGAAATGAAATCATACCTATAATGACTGTCCAAATTACGAATAACCAATCATATTGAAAATTAAATGGGAATTTTATTGAACACATTCCTCCCCTGGGAAATAATATACAAAAGAATACACTGGGCCCCTCTGTGTGTTCATTTTATAAGTGTAATATTCTTTCTGCCTTTCACTGTAGCAAACACAAAATAAAAGTCAAGCTGTGTTTCAGGCAGCTGTACACCATAAATGAACTTTGCCAACAAGCCTAATGCATGAGCCGAAATAGAAACATATTCCCTTTTGCAATCTTTAAGAGGAAAACAGAACACATAGGATTTTAAATACATAGAGGGAAAAAGTCCATGAATGATAGTTATTATTCTATATTAGCATTAGAGCTGGGTATTGGTACTTTTTCCTCCATTTTAATTCACATATTTCCTGTCCTTACCAATGAGAAGAAGAAAATCATGTGAGAAGAAGGAAAGCACCCAGCTTTGTTAACAATGAAGATTACAAAAAAGTGGTGCTGTTAACAAGTAGGACATAATCTGCTCTAAAAGGAATCTTATAGTATGGACAATAATAAAAAAGATAAGCATACTTTTCTAATAAAATCAACAACAAGTGTTTGCTCATTTACTTATCTTAGAATCACAGAATGGGTCAGGTTTGAAGGGACCACAATGGGTCCAACCTCCTTGCTCAAGCAGGATCAACCTAGAGCACATGGGACAGGATTGTTTCCAGACACTTCAGGAATATCTCCAGTGAGGGACACTCCACAGCCTCTCTGGGTGATCTATTCCAGTATTTGGTCACTGCACAGTGAAGAAATTCTTCCCCATGTTCAGGTGGAACTTCCTGTGCATCAATTCCTGCCCATTGCCTCTTGTCCCATTGCTGGGCACCACTGAGCAGAGCCTGGTCCCTGCTCTGACCCTGCAGGTACTGACAGACATGATGAAGTTCCCTCTCAGTCTCTTCTTGAGGCTGAGCAGCCCCAGCTCCCTCAGCCTTTCCTCATAAGAGAGATGCTTCAGCCTTCTATTATTATGATTGTTTTTATCGTATTGTTCCCTTTTATACCTTCCTTATCTCTTAAGAGACAGTGAGTAAATTCAAGCAGGTCCTTAGGTAGGCTAGCAATAGTCAGTGCTTAGTGTGTCAAGAATGAGCAGGAAGAGGACAGGGACTGCTCCTTTTTCCCTAGAGAACATCCTAGTGCTTCCTCCTTGCAGGGAGAAAGAAGCTGTGGTCAAAGATGGATGGGCATGGGAGTCATTACATTTTTGCCTCATCCTGGAGCCCAAAGAAAAGCTGCAGTTGTTCATCTAAGGAGACAGGAGATATCCTTTGAAGAAGCTACTTCTACTCTTTCCTCAACATGTATCTTGCTGTCCACTTCTATTTACTTATGTTCCATACATGGGACATTATGAGGGCTTCATCCTGTTAGCCTTGAATTTGAGGGAGAAACTCCCCAAACTGGCCAAATCAAGCCCACGTATTCCACTTGACAGGATCTCTCTGCCAAAGGCCAGTTCATTACTTTCTGATTAATCTCTCTCAGTGCTGTAGTGATGCTGTGAGGTGAGTAATCACAAAATGATAGTCTTGACATAAAATAACTGCAAAGAGTCTGCAGAAACCCCTCCTGGGATCAGCCTCCAGTCTCCCTTTCTGTACCCCTACGTGATACGTGGCTGCTTTACAGCAAAGCCAGTCATTATTAGTGGCTGCTGTTCAGATTTCACATTTCTCTGGAGACCCTTTCACTGAAATTTCTAGCTCTACTTTTGTGAAGCCTTTTGTTACTGCACTGCATTGCAGAGCCAGGAAGAAACATTTCAATATAATTTTAATCAATAAAACAAACAAACAAAAGGGTGTACAGTTGCTTGAATCTCTCCTGAGAATCTGAGATTTTACTGAATTCTCTCTAATGCAGGAAAAATGTTACTAAAATTCACTTTTTAATTCTATAGTTTTAAGCCATTGACATTATGAAATCAGAGATACTAGAGGGAATAACAACCAAGATGAAAAAAAACCCAAATTTTTTAGAGGACAACAACACTTTTATATGCAGGAACACTTGTAGAAGTGAATTATGAATTGTCCATAAATCTCATTGTGAAACTCTGAAGAACTTCTGAAAATCTAAACAATTTTAGATTTCATGTGATCATATTAAGTTTCTAGGAATGGGACAAAAATGAAATATTAAAGATGTGGAAATATTGGCAGCTATCCCAAAGGTGCATCCAGCTTCTTACCCCTCATTCCACTGGTTTTATAAAATCTGCTTAGAAACTTAAAAACAAAAAATTAGAGAAGCTCTGAGGTTTTGGATAGGAAAGACTGACAATGTGATATAAGAAACATGGATCAAGAATTTGTCCTCCAGCCAGAACTGTACTTCTATAAGGTTATGAGCCAAAACTGCTGCACTAGTGGTAACTGACCAAATTGTTTGGAAACACCAGGCATCAGTGAAGATGAACAGAGGCACATCATCCAGCTCTCTGGACTGTAACTACAGCTGTTTTCCCTTCTGACACTATTTTTACTCTTATTAATATTTATTTCATACTTTCACTTTTATTATTTTTATTATTTGTACTTATTTATTTTATTTACTTCTTTTATTAAGTATGCAAAGTCCTGAATTTTTTAGCTCAGTTGTACTGTAATGAGGAATAACATCCTCAGTTACAAAGGGGAAAAAATTCACAAATTATATTTGGTAGAGATTTGGAGAGATGTGCAAATCACATCCAAAAGCCATGTGCATAAAAGTTCATGCCTCAGCTGAAAACCTCAACTCAAGCAGAATTCATAACATAAAACCCTGTGTGGTCTCCAAGGCACAGTTGAGTCATGTCTGCACAGCATTGACTTCAAGTATTTGAGCTTATTTTTGTCTGTATCTACCAATGCATAATATTAATTAAATTCTGCCATACATAACAGGTATGAATGTAATATCTTCAATACAATGTGGGGGAATCTTGTAAATTCAGACCTAGCTGGGGCATTGACCTGCTAGAGTGAATCCAGAGGAGGCCACCAAATTGATCAGAGGGATGGAGCTCTTCTGCTATGAGGAAAGGCTGAGAGAATTGGGAGTATTAACTTGGAGAAAAGAAGGTTTTGGGGTGAAATAATTGTGTCCTTTTTCTGATGGGACCCTACAAGAGAGATGGAGAGAGTTTATTCACAAGGGCCTGGACTGACAGGACAAGGGGAAATGGATTCAAACTGACAAAGAATAGGTTTAGGCCAAATACCAGGAAAATACTTCTGGAACAGGTTGCTCAGAGACTATATGGATGTCACCTGCCTGGAAGTGTCCAAGGCCAGGTTGGATGGGGCTCTGAGGAACCTGGGATAGTGCAAGGTGTCCCTGGCAGGGGGTTGGAACGAGGTGATCTTTAAGGTCCCTTCCAATCCAGGCCATTCTGTGATTCTATGATGGTAAGTAAAAATCATTCATTTTATGAGATGTGTAATATCACTTCATGAGTATAAAGGTCTACATTTTTCTTATTTAGCAATACCTAAAAAAAACCCCCAAAAAACTCAACAAGTACCCCCAATAAGATTGCTGCTTCAAAAAAAAAAAAAAAACAAAAAAAAAAAAAAAAAAAAAAAAAAAAAAAAAAAAAAAAAAAAAAAAAAAAAAAAAAAAAAAAAAAAAAAAAAGTATGATGGTAGAAATGAGTGACTGAATAACTTCTTGGGGTTATGTTACCTAATGCTTTCCATGGAAATAAGATCTAGCTGAACCTTAGGACCTTCTGATTTCCTCAACCATAGAAGGACCAACTCAGTCAATAATTATTATGATCTAGATAGATGCAGCTGTTATGATAAGTAGACATTTTGATGTGCTTCAGTGAATATACTGCTGAAGTATTTTGATGGATATTTTCCCTAAAATATTCAGCCAAGTCCTGAGCTGACTGCAGTCAGAAAAAAATGTAGGTAATGGGCAGAAAATCTGCAATTCTCTTTTCCTTTTTTCTGAAGAAAATTACATTTATGTAAGAGAGGCTCAGCCTGTCACAAACCTTCAGGATCAAGCTTTCAGATTCTTTAAAAAGGTAATTGGTCCTTTACAAGCTTGTTTGTTTTTAGAGCCCAGCATTTCACATGTTTCTGAAAGCTGAAGCAGACTGTCCTCCCTGTTTTCCTCTTGTCACAGCAAAATGAAAAGAAGCATTCCAGATTTCTAGCACTAAATTCTATAGTAAAAAAAAAAAACAACCAAAAAACAAAGTAACAAAGCAATAAACAAGCAAGCAAACAAAACGCTCAGGGAGTTAATTGCTCCCATTTCTCCTAAAACATTTGCAATATTCTCTTTGTCAGACAGCTTGACAGACTTTTAACTGAGAGCTGAGGCTGTGGAGAGCAATGCAGGCAGCATTTTGCCTCCCCAGCAAAGCTGCAGAGGAGTTTGGTAAGGAGCAATGTAGTCAAACTCCTTGGTACAAAAATTTTCTTGGGGAAACCAGGAAGTCAGATGGAATCATAGAGCAGAATAACTTAGATTAGAAAATGCCACCAAGGTCATTGAATTCAGCCTGTGCCAGATCACCACCTTGGCAACCAGACCATGTCCAGTCATTTCTTGAGCCCCTCCAAGGATGGTGACTCCACCACCCCCCTGGGCAGCCTGTTTCAATGCTGGACAAGCATTTCTGTGAAGAAATTCTTCCTGATGCCCAACCTGAACGTCCTCTGGCACAGCTTGAGGCCATCTCCTCTTGTCCTGTCACTGCTTGCCTGGGGAAAGAGCCTGACCCACTCCTGGCTCCATCCTCCTGTCAGGGAGTTGTACAGAGTGAGAAGTTGATCCCTGAGCTGCCTTTTCTCCCAGCTCCTCACATGGATTTTTCTCCAGTTTTATTGCCCTTCCATGGACCCTCTCCAGGCCCTCAATGTCCTTCTTATGGTGAGGGGCCCAGAAATGAACAGAGTACTTGAAGATAAGGCAAAAGCAAACAAAGTGACCAGCACTGCAGGATAAGAATTCTTTGTGTTAAACTCCAGTGGGGTTTCAGGTCTGTAGTTTCACAGAATCAGAAACAGGCTGAGCTTGAATGGGACATGTATAGGTCATCTGGTCTGAACACTGTTTCACAAAATCACATAATAATGAGGTTGGAAGAGACCTCTAAGATCATCAAGATAATATCACTGATGCAAGTCTTCATATTAAATTTCCATATTATTTTGTAATTTGCATAGGATTTACATTAGTAATATTTATATATTAAGCAACAAGTGTATAACTTTATATTGAAACAGAAGGACTCTAATATTTCATTATTTATTAAGCATATTCTTCATTAGTGAGGATTTTGCAGAACATTGTTTCCTCTTGCAAGATAAATATTATAAAAATCACTCATTATTTTTAGTAGAATTGATTTGGACTTCACTGTGCAGTTTATTGCCCATAAACTATTTTCAAACTACTGACAGTATTTTAAACAGATGTTTAAAAAGACTGATTTACAGGAGTGCACATTCTTACCACATCTTTTTTCAGATTCATCTGAACCATCTGGGCAGTTCAAGACTCCATCACAAAAGAAATCTTTGCTAATGCAGGTTGCACCATCAGCACAGAGTTCAGCAGGTGGCAAACACTCAGCTGGAATAATAAAAATGAGAGCAGCAATAACACTATAGCACTAATGTAGTCTCACTACAAAAGAAAATTGACTTACCTCTGGTTGCTTTACCACTAATCAAATCAACCACTCTATTGCGTTTTACAAAGCTGCATTTTTAAAAGCCTGGAATGCAATATCACATACTAAAATTTGGCACAGAATGGAGACAGCTCTCAGAAGTAAAATATATTTTGAAACTAAACTTGATGTAAGGATGAAAGAAAATATCTGTGATTTCCTTTTTTTTTTTTTCTTTACAATAATAAACTACTTTATGCAATATAATAAATTACATTTTCCAATTTCTTATGTTTAAATAATGTGAGAAAACTCTACTTTGGTTTAAATAACAGTGAAAAAGCTCTGAGTTTAGGTAAATAGAATTTAATTTATTTCTTCAACTTTAACACATCACACTGTTGCACCTCATCATGCTAAGGTATCTGATTTTTCAACCAGTGTATCCTACAAAAAAGTGACTTTACATTCTAAAACACCAGAATTATGAGAAACCATATTCTTTTCAGATTTACAAATTAAATGTATAAGTTAAGAGCAAATTTCTGTTAGAAGAATACATGGGCAGATCCTTGAAATTGTGCATTCTACTAATAGCCTTTTCCTAGAGCATAAGTATTCATCTACTGCAAAAAAACCTCTTAGTCCTTAGAGGGTTTTGGCCTTAGATATCTGTAGAATTGAAGTAGGTCCTATTAAAGTGAACAGAAACATGAAGCTAAACTAAACTTTGGAGAACTACTAATTTGAAAATTCTTAAAATTGCATTAAATTCTATAGAAATATTCACACAGTTCCTTATCTCTACTTCAATAAATGCTTACAGAAAAAGGTCAGCACTTCTGATGCAAGAAGGAAAAAATAGTAATTTGTAAAATTTTATCTTTTTAATTCCTTTTTCATAGATCTGTTAGTTCTGTAATCAGATTTAGTATGATATTATATTGTGTGTCCCAGACTGATATTGGCATGGATGTATTGTAACATTTCAAAGTGGTTTACAAAACACTCTCAGTGTTGGCAATGAAAATGCTACAAAGCCACAAGATTTACCATTTTGCATCCAACTGGAAATTAAAATGAACCAAACATACTCCAGTAAAGTGTTCGAGGTGACACAGGGCCAGTGAATGAATTTCCACAGATGAGCAGAGACAAAACTGTGCATTCCATACCCAGAGCAAAAATTACAACCAATAACCCAGGAAGAGATTTTGCTCAAGCCCCATCAGGCAAGAAATCATTGTTTACATGCAACATGATCAATTCTTGGTTTATTCAGCTCAGAAAACTAAACAGCACTGCCACCTCCTGGATTGAAAGAAATCAACTTTTCCTACTTTAACATTCTGACTTTTAAATGGCAAATTACCCTAAAATGTGCTGTAAGTGCTGCAATTCAAATAAATAAGGACAGTAAATACATATGACTCGAACACATTAGGCTGCTTGTAGATACCAAATATATTTCACCGTATAAGAAGGCTGGAGAATTTTTTCAAAGATTCAAACATCTTCAGCTTTCTATCCATTGGAAGTTATACTTTGCTATCAGTTTGCTTATTTTATTTTATTTTCCTCATAAGAGTCAAGAAATAATACAAACTTTTTTAAAAAAGAGCAGCTAGTGTTAGTGTCAATGTGTGCATCAACATGCAGTACACATGCAGCACTTTTGTAGCACATACAGTCTTAGAAGTCCCTTTTCCTTTATGAGGTCTCATTGGTCTAAGGTAAACCTGCATGTCCTGAATTTTCAGGAGTGGAATACAAGGATTAGATGCTGTGAGGAGGGGCTGTACATGAGCAATTTTTTTTTACACAGAGCAACCTCCCTGCTCCTCCACACACACAGTTACTCACCCACTGTTGTTGGGGGCTTGCTTGTGGTGACTTGTCCTGAACCTGGACAAACACAACCCAAGGTTAGAACACTACCTCTTGCTCTCTGGGAGCACCTCTGTGGTTACTTGGGCAGAATTAAGCAGCAGTTAATCTGCTTTTATATCTGCATTATTGCAGATATTTAAAACAAACAAACAAACAAAAAATGCTCCCCACACTCCAGGTAATGATTTGGTAGTGCCAGCTTGAGTGGATTGGTCATGAAGCTCAAGTGTCACAATAAACACAGGAAAAATTATGTGAAACCCAAGTGTTTCAATAACTTCAAAAGATTTCTTTCCTCCTTCCACCTTCCCCCCACTAAAACAGGAACAATTCTTTCTTGTCTTCCCCTGTAAAAGTTCTGACCTGAAGTTGGTGTCAGGGAACTTGTAATTAAACTCGTGGGATCTGTTGAAACAAGAAAAGTGATGACATCAACATTAGTACTAAAAGATAAATTTACATTTTCTGACAAATAAAATTGCTCTACAAGTAAATTAGGAGCCTCAAATCTATCTAGTATTTGTCCATTTACATACAGGTGTATACATATATATATAAACTGTGGGTGTACTTATTTACACATGAACAAATGCCTAGGTAAATAAGCAGATTTTTTTAATGATTGTAAACTGCAAAACATTCTGGAAAAATGGAATGTGTATTTGTGATTGCTCCAACAGAAGTTCCACTTCATTGAGGAGGCACCTGGCATTTCCAGCTCCCAAACAGTCTTTTTTCTTTTCCTCTCTGAATTTGCTTTAGCATCCCTGTTTACTATTTTTAGTTTCTAAATTAAGACTAAAACATGTGAGTAGGATGATGATGTTTTCAACTGAAAACAATCCCCATGTCACTGCAGGTACTGGATCCTGTACCTGCAGGATATAATATATAGGGTTTATAATATTAAGGGTCTGAAGGAATAATGTGGGAGGTGCAGTAAGGCTTTCTCTATAGTTTGTCACCCATCAGATTTGTGGGCAGAAGTTTCTGACCACTGGCCATCAACCACTTTTGTTAGATATTCCTGCACTCCCAGATCTAGTGCACAAACTTGCAGGAGGATTTCCCACCAATTTTTTATCAAAACATGCTTATTTAGCAAATACTATTAGACTAAACTGGACCATTCTGGTTATGGTGCATTCTGTGTCAGCAGATTTAGGGACACAGTTTCTTTGGCAGAGAAAAACAAGACCAGTGAATAGATGGACTGTTCTCACAGCTACTGTAGAGAAAAAAAGCTTAATTCATACCATCACAGGTTTTCAAAGAGATACACACACAAAAAAACATATATATATATATATATATATATATATATATATATCAAAGATATATATATATTTATCTCAACACATCTGTCTATACATTTACTACAGGATAACCAATTTAGAAGGAATTAAACGTTCCAAGACCTAAAACCTAGATGCATACAGGAGCAAACAATTCTAAGGAAACAGTTATCAGGGAGCTACATCTTGAAAACTGTTGACAAATTGTGGTTGCTACAGATGTTCCCAAAAGTGCAAGCACAAGTTGACAGAAAAATCCCTAAAGGAAAACACAGGACAGTGAAAGAAGCAGCAGTGATATAAGCACAATTACTAGAAAATCTCACTAAAGTAACAGGGTGAGATGGCAAAGGATGTTTTCAGGGTCAGCAGGGCCACAACCCTGCATCCAGAATGTGTAAATGTACACATGTGGTAAAACGTGGATATATTGTGACATTTGGACTGAAACAGAAAGAAAAAGGAGGTAGACAAAATTAACAAAAAGTACAAAAGTGACCTCAAGCAAAACCAAAGCCAAGGGAGAGGAAATTCACACCAGGAATATGGTTTCCATTCCAACCTTGGGTGCTGACGATTCCCAACTCCCTTCCCCTTTCCTTAGGAACCTTCCCCAGTCTCCAAATTTTTGCTTGAGGGTGATTAACAACATTGAACTTAGGACCAGGGGAGCATTAAGATAGCACACCAGAGGAAGGGACAGGTAGGGGAAAAAACTGAATGTTAGCAGTTTAAACTGTATCTCTGGGAATAGCCTATAGGATTTGCACACTTTGGACTATGCACATTGGCAGACCTGTAACCAGACTAATAGTAACCCTTTCATTACTATGGCTGTAATTAGAATATCAATAAATACTTGTCTCCTATATTTATAGGGGCAGTTGTTTAGCTTCTGCTCTGGTACCCTGCCCTGGAGAGTTTGTATGTGATACTTTGCTTGTAGTTGTATGTGACTAGCTGCACCTAGTGCTATAAAGCACTTATTGTATTGTTTATATCTCTGGCTGACTTTTGGCAGGTTTGTGAGACTAAGTTTGTCTGCTTCATGTCTTAGAATCGTAAAATTTCCAGGGATAGTGGAAGGAAAATCTGTCTGTCACTATTGTTTAGTAAATCAATAACACCAACATGAGAGCAGGACTCCCCAGCCTGATCTACCTCCCTAAATCTGCAAAATCTTCAGCTTGCAGCTCAGCTGGTTAAAGGAGACTCAGCTTTTGGTTTGATACTCTAATTAAGCTCCTACAGATTTTGTACAGACTACAGTTCACTCACTGCTTTCTCAAATAGTCAGAAATGGTGGAAGCAGTTAATTATCACTGAATGGACCCTGGCAGTCAAGCCTCAGCTGCAGCCAGAGCAGCTTTACCAAGTTGTGTGAGCTGAACAGCAAGTCTTGTTTTCCTTCATCTTGTATTGGAAGCTAAAATTAGTGCCTGCTTTGAGAAAGATACCTACCTGATGAGGTTAAAGGCATCATTGTAGTAGGATTTTCAGCAGCTTCTGGAAGAAAGCAAGTTCATTATAAACTTCTTTTATCGCACAGTGTCTAGTTTTAGATGACAGAAATAAAGATTAAAAAGAAACCAGCTGTGACTATTTCTCTTTGAATCCCTGTCAGTGTCCTGCTTCCCTCCTTTTGCCTCATTCTGTTACCCAGTCTTTTCTCAAACTCCATGATCTTCCCAAGGAGAAAAGATCCCAAAAATGAGTTGAGGTTATGAGGTTTCAAAGCCACTGCAGGTCCTTTCAATCCTCAATTCCTAGTGATTGTATTGCACATAGAATGTCTTCACCTGGGAAATCTCTCTCAAGGCTTTTTATTCTATAGAGATTTGCAGAGCACCTGTGTCTTAGAGAACAGTATTTAGAAGAGATGAATGAGTTAAAATCAACCTGGGATAGCTTACAAGAAAGAAAGTTACTTTTAATCACTGTGAAAAGTAATTTCAATCAAATCACACCTGTTTGACACCTCTCTCCCTCTTTGAAATAGGAATGTCTCTGGCAGAGCATATTGATATACACAGTGCAAAAGTGCCATATATGATTGTGATTGTTAATTAGTTACAATTATTTTATTGAAACACTCCTGGTAGAATGGACAGGTGCTATCTCAGATGAAAATAGTCCTTTGAATAATTCATAGAAGTAAAAGTTTGACTACTTCAAAGTTCATCAATGGATGAACCTTTTAAGAGGCTCTTAATTATTTTTGGTGGCATTTTTGAAGTATAAGAGCAATCAATTTCCACAGTGTTGTGCAGTAATTTGTAATAAACAGTAAAGACAACTAAATATGCCCAGACTCTGAATTTAGCCTTTGAATACTTGAAGAACTTAACAAAAAATGCAGCTTTTGATATAGAGTAAGAGACATGGCACAGCAGATTGCCACTCTTCAGTTTTTATTTAATAGTAACTCCAGCAGGTCTTCAAATGTCAGCTAATCAACTTCTGCTTCAAAGAATTCAGATTGTTTTTTAACCTCATCCTCAGTGAGGGGCTGTTTTGAAGCTTTATTCAGGTAAAAAAAAAAAAAAAAGATTCCCATTGGTCTTGATGGGCTCCCATTTAGACTTTGATATCTTTTCTAGTACTTACATGAAATATCTGTATATTTGCAGAATTTAAAGCTACCTAGTCCTTAAAGCCCTGTTCATTTTCATTCCATTTACATTTACCTAGGCTCTACAAGAATATAGAGCCAGTTCTCTGGGTGCACTTCTCCCAAAGCAGTTTGTTTTTCTTCAGGACATATTTTTGAGTAAATTAGTCTTTACTCACTGCAGCTCTGAGCTCTTTTCTTATTCTTTAGCAGAACAAAATTATAACTGTATTTTACTTATGAAACAACAGGGCTGGGGTTTAATTGCTTTAATTAGAGGGCCAAAAATTACAAATATTATGCTTCATAAGAGCATAAGAGGTGAAATTGAGTCATTTTCACTGGGAAACCACTACTTTGCCCTTTACTCCCTCCTTAGGGAATGTACACAATGCTGGCTCATACTTTCTACTAGAAAAGGTTGTAAATTCTTCTTTCTGCTGCTACTGAAACTTATGGAATGGGGGAGGATGGCACCCAAGAGAAAAAGTAACAATCCAGTTGCTGTCTGGGAGCCAAAGCTTTCATTCCCGCTACCTGCAATTCTGAAGGATTTTTAGAATTAAAAACAAAAAACAAACAAACAAAAATCCAAATAAACAAGCAAAAAACCCCTCAAACAAAAAACTTACTAAAATTACCTGTGATTTGTATGCTGTTCACATCGATTTTCAAAGCCTTGGTAGGATTAGGGTTATTTGCAATGACACCCAAAACCAGCACATTTTTTATTTTCTCAACTGTTACCATCTTGGTAAAGTAAAGGGTGAAGATCACAACCACACTACCAATACAAAACATAGAAGTTAATTAGTTATTCAAGCTGATGAAAAAAATCAGTAATATGACATAATCTAGAGAATAGTTCATTCTAACACTGGTTCCATTGGCAAAGGCAGATTGTTTTTTAAATATTGGCTGGCAAAGATGACATAAAGAAACATCTCTTAATCATCAGGTCAGTTTGAACCTTGGAGAAACTTTGTTTTTTCTTTATCTACTTTTACTTGCACTGTCAGAAAAAAAAAAAAAACAACAAAACAAGACAACATTCATTTCAATTGCTGCAATGGAGCTGAATTTGAGGAAAACTAAAGAAGTAGCTTTACTGTTGTTCAATAGGTTTAGCCATAAAATATTGAAGGTGAACATGGAAGTATTACAAAAATTGTATAATATGGCAAAATATAATACAAAGTGACCATTTTTATAAAGCAAATCTGTGGATTCTGCATTTTTGCAGATCTGTGGTGTGATTGCCTGTATTCTCACAAGGAAACAATGATGGCTGAAAACAGAGATATTTAGAAATTGTGGTTAAACTGCATTTAACTTCTATGAATTTTATCCAGAGTATTTTCTGTTTGTTCTCTCCATCCTTTCTATTCACTGTTATGAAGTTTTATGTTTGCAGCTAAAGTAATGTTGAAGTATGACACTTGCCAAAGATACACATTTCCTCCTTAAATTTAAGTGTAAACTTTTTTATCCTTAAACTACCCACTTGCAACTGACTCAGTAGTGCTCTTTGTAAGGAGTGATTAATCCTGTTTTGCTGAGCATAGTTTGCAGTTTGCAATATGTAGAAAAGCTCTTTCTTGCATAGTTCTGATAACCTCTAGGCCATGCTGAGCAAACAAAAGCTTTTATTGCCGCCCTTGTGACTCAGCAGCAGCGTTTCAAGGGTGAAATGCCAAGCAGATTGCCTGAAAGGGTAAACACTTTTAAAATGAAAAGAACGTAATGTCTGAGACAAAGTTATGGAAAGCAGAAGTGAAGACAGATCCTTACTATCATATTAAAAACAGGATCCAACATTCAAAACCAGCAGATTTTCTGCAATTTCTGATTGTTGTGTCAAGATACCACGGTGGAATGAGTTTTGCCCAACACAGTTATTTATAGGGAAGATATCTAGATTCTCACTTTGGTTGATAGAAAGAAATAAGCTGTTCTTTGGCATAATTTGGTGTCCTCCTAAAAAAAGGCATCTAAACTGACCAGATGAGAAAGCTAAAAACCCAGCACTTACAAAGACAGTCTTGAGCAAACCATTCAGAGATATCTCCATCTTTGATGCCCAAATTTTGATGAGAATAGTCCCTTTCTTTGTGCAGAAACCAGATTTCCTGACTGGATCTACCTCCATGAGGAAAACACTTTGGAAGTGGCCCACTCCTGCTGCTGTGTAGTCCATTCCCTTAATGTTATATAATCCTTCATAAACTGATCATATTTCACTTCCTAGCTAATAGGGTCATGTCCTCAGTATTTCAATCAAAAGATTGTTCCAGTGTAAATCTGCTTCCCATTACTTACTGATATTCATGGTCAGATAGTATCCCAATATCTTGTTTGTTTTTTTTATTTTCAGGGACAGTCATTCAAGTAAACTAATCCCCTCTACATATTTATCAACTTCATGTACTTACATTGCTATCACAAGAACATGTGGTAGCACAGAACTATTGATCTGTTTTCATGCAATGTGTACTTTAATTTTCTGGGTTCACCTACGAGACAACCAATTATATCATTCATTTCCCAGGGCTCTTCAGATCTGCTAGAGTCTTAATCTTTTGTCCTCTGTTTTGTTCTTGCCTATCACAGTGTGTCATTAGACTTCTCTTGATTTAAAACTTGAGTTACTGGTAGTGTCATGAGATCTGAGCTCAGTTTCATCAGTTTTACATGAGTAAACTCAGCACAAACCTATATGTTTTCCTTTCTGGATAGTTTCTTGCCTTTCTCTCTCTTCCATTTTTCTTTCTAAATTGACAGTCCCAGGGACTATCACATTTTTTTTTTTTTCATCTAATCCTAAAGGAAGTTTTAAGAGAAAAGATATGTCTTGAAGCTTCATCCTCTTTAGAGGGCCTTATTTAAATTCTAAAAGTGTTAGTTTTGGTTTTTTTAAAATCTATTCACAGTCCACAGAAAAACTGTCTAAATTAGTAGCATCATTGACTCTTGCCTATAGTTTATGTAAACTTTGTTATATTAAATTACCTGGTTTCTGATGTCAATCTGCCATGCTCATCTTCAGATTTCCTGTAGAAAAAGAAGCAACAATAAAAAAGAAAAACCACAGCCAACACCACATAGTTCCCATTGAGATTAGAATGTTTTGGACAGGATGGGGACACGTCCTGGAACAGTTTAATAATGAGAGACAGTGTTACAGGTGTTTTGCTGAATCAGGACGTTATTAAGAATAGTGAAGATGGAATTAACACCACAGACCTGGATGTAAAACCTGGACATTTTTGTCAGCTGGCCTTCAGTAGGACAACCAACACCCCAGGATATTGAAAATGAGCTTTACTAAATGAAGCAGATCATACTGTACAGATTTATGGAATTTTTTAGGATGCAGAGGCTGCAGCTTTTCCTGGTGTCAAATGACAGCCTTATTTGATAACACCCTAAGGAGTGTGAATTAAGTGGATTTGTATCCATAGGGACATAAGAGTGCCTGAGCCTCCAGGCTTATGCTAGGAGATTTCTAACCTGAAATTTCTTTTAGGTGGCAAGGCTCAGAAGCCCTGCAAACAGCACCTTGGCAAAAAAATAATTCAGCAGTTCTTTGAAATATGGAATTTTTCTGAGTGGGTGTTAGCAGTCAGCCTTACTGGTTTGGTCAAGGCAGGGACACACATCAGCTTGAGAAGGAAGTTTGCCCAGGGAAACACACTCGGTGTCCAATTGAGCACATTGGAAAGATGTATGGTGTGAAAAGCATAATACAGGAGGTTCCCAAGGATATCTTGATAATCAAGGTAATTACTTCTGAGAGAAATATCTAAATGAGGACTTTTGACATTTATTTCCAGTGTTAAATTAAGCTGTACCTACTTGAACCGGGAAATTTCACATCTCTCAAATTTGTATTTCAGTTCACTTTCTTGAAAGATATTTTGTATCTATACGAAAAAGAGAAATCTTGAACCAATAAAATAATTAAAAATACACACATTCTCACACTATAATAATGGCTTTAGTACTAAATAACTTTTTATTGACTACATAAGCAAGGTACTTATTTGATGATTCACTGATTTTCTCAAATAAGGAATATATTGGGTTCTGACCAGGCTTAGGACCTGAAATAACTCTTTGGAAAGAAAAACCCATCAACAGCAGTTAATGTTAGGGAATTAATGTACCTACAGATACTCTTGAATAAAGCACAAGCTGATAGGTTCTTACCAATTTTTCGATATCAAAGGCAAGGACTTTGAAATCAGCTGATGAACTGTTTAGTAAGGTTGAACTGAAAGATGTGCCAGAGGATATTTTAAATATTCCCATATAGCCATGAGTATTCACATCTGCTTCAGCTAGATAATTAAAAAGAAAAAAAGGAGTTTTAATTATATAGAAATAAATGAAAACTATTACATTAGATTTCATTTGACACAGATTAACAATACAATAATTTCTAGATTTTTTACTGCTTTGTGATCACAGATGCTCTGCCTAGTGCTGTTTAAAGAAAAAAAATAGATGTTTTCTGATGTTTTACAATAGTTATAACTATTGTAATCATATTTTTATGAATACTCTTTGCCCCTATTTGGCATTACTTTCCATTTTGTTTTAGATGTGTTTTCCAGCAACACTGTGAGTGCATAAAGGATACAATGACATGCCCAGTTATGTCTAGCAAAAGGGACAGAGATGAACAGGAAGAATTATGAGTATTTTATGCGTTGTGGATAAAAAAGTATTATGAATTGCCTCACACTTTATGTATTTGTGCTGTGCTCTTTTTTATATGTGTAAACTGGTTTCAATGACAGCATTGGAAATATTCAGTGTCAGAATAGTTAAATTATTTTTGACCTGACTTGTCTCACCAATACATATATGAAATTCTGGGAGAATTTATAAAGAATTTAGACAACTGGTCCTTGCTGCAAATTTAATCTTGATTTTAATATGACACAGGACATCAGGTATTCATAAAGGAATTCATTACACATTTAAAACATAATTCTTCACTGTGCAACACACTGGAAATTCTCAGAAAATATCCAAATTAAAGTTGATTGATAGCAAATGCCTTTTGCTTACCAGTTGCAGTACCAGTGGCATTTTAGATTGTGTTTGAAGGCGTTGATATCAAAGCAAGTTTTAAGACAAAAGCATATCTCAGAGACTGAAATATTACAGTTCATGGCTTAAACATTGCTATGAAGGAGTTTTTCCCATTATGGCAAAAATGCATAAAGAGGTTGTGACCACCAAAACTTTCTCCTCCCTGAAGACACCTCCTAACAGGAACCTGGGCATTCCAACCTGGCCCAAATGTATATTAATTCACTGGATTCTGTGTTTTTCAAGAAACCCTTACCACCAAGAAGATCAACAGGATGCCATAAAGATCCATGGAGTGTTGATATTTTCTACTTAATCTGTTTCCACCTTACTTTCCCCTCCCAGTCCCCTCTTTCCTATTTCTTCCTTTTTATCTCATTTACTGTTAGATAAAACCCATAATATTGACTTTGGCATATGGTCTTATTTGCACATTAATTTGGGCAGCAGAGGCATTTCTAAATAATTTAATAACTGAATAAAAGCAGATAAGCAATAAATACTATAATGAACAGTTTATTATGGAAGGCATAGCATAATGACACAAATTTAATATCAATTAGTAATACTAGAATGCTTTGAGCTTCTTTGAAGGCTGTTCCTTAAAACAATATCAAATCTGTTTAAAAAATACTCCTAAAAAGCAAGAGCCTTTTTAAATTATACATCACTTATAATTAAAAATATTTTATAATCATATTTTTACAAATTTTTGCCTATTTTTCTTCTAAAAACAAGGTCATTAAGTAAAGCCCTATCTCTAGATTCAATAAGATGCTCTTTTATTTTACTGGAGTGTGGTAACATTCTAGTAAGAAGGTAAGAAAGTTGGTAGGTAGTGCAGTTTTTAAAATCTGGAAATAAAAACAATGGCAACTGAAGGAACAAATATGAAATTCCGACATAATGGCTTTGGTTGGTTATTTTTATTTTTTTTTAACATAAGTCTTACAGAAAATTCAGTCTTCATGAAAATTTAGCTGTCAGACTGAAATACCATGGATTTTTGGTTAATGCAAGCAGTAAAATCATCAAGGTAACAGAATATTTCTTCAGCAACAAAAATCACTTTGAGACTCTCTCTAGTAGCCCCATATCCCTCATGTGTTTTGGAGCCCTGAACTGGGTGATGTCCTCCAGGTGTGACCCTCCCACTTATATCCACATTAGTTCTTAACTAAAATTTTAATTCCAATTGAAAATCATGAAACATTGATAATTTAATTTGCTTTGAGTATCAGTAACTTCTTCCATCACATTCCAAGAACTGAATAAAGACTAAGAGTGACTTTACCTGAGCTTTACATGGTGCAGGCAGCTGACTGATACAGGAGCTCTCTCACACCAATAAATTACTTAAAAATATTTCTTCAATAAAAAATAAATAGATTCCAAGAGTTAGGCCCCACAAACTCTAGGGGATTATTAGCCTTTCAGTGTATTATTTGTATTCTGATTCAAAACTCATAAATGGAGAAAAAGGCAAAATTTCACAGTTTTCCATATTAACTTCACTAATTGATGAATATGGTGGAATTAGCCAAACTTTATAGCTTGGATTGCATCTTAGGGACCTTTCCCATTGCCTAAACCATGAAAATTATTTTATATGCCTTTAGAGCATAATTCCAGTGCTTGTTTCCTCCCCCCCCCCCCCCCATTTTGTTCACATCAATTTTCAGGGGAGAAAAACACATAAACCCTAGAACACCACTTCCCCTGACCCCAGCATTAAAAACATAGCATGAAATAAAAAAAAATACAACCACAATTGTAAGAGCACTGCCTTCAAAGGAATTCCTAAAGGTCTGCATCTAAAGATTGGCTACTTACCTCGCTCCAACTCCTGGACTGATAACCAAGACAGCACAATCAGTCCAACACAAATACACACAAAAATTGCAAGTAGAGAAGCAAAGAAAATCTCATAGCTATTAAGAGGAACATATTTCTTATCAGATGATTTTTGCAGCTTCATTTCTGTCTCAAAAACTTCTGTGAATTTAGGACTGACAAAACACACAGCCTGAGAAGGAAAATAATAATCCACATGAACAGATATTTATAGGAGATGCTTGTAAATTAATTACATCATAAAACTTCACTGGCATAGGTTTTTACAACATTCCTGAGCAATCATAATCATGCACAGGATATGCAAATAAGAAGAAAAGAAATCCACTCAAAGAAGAAGAACTGAAGATACTTGTCTCAGATAAAGAACAAGAAAACCCACAGAAATGTAAGGTTAGTCACTGGATTTGCACTATTTCTTGTAATTTGATATTTTTAAGTGACAATATAAAATATTACTGCCGAATTTATTGCCTATACAGTTTTCTTTTGATAATTCCTTAATTATCCTGAGGGTAATTATGAAGACAACAGTGAAAGACATATCTTTCTTCATTCTGCTTAAAAAGTTCCTTTAAAAGTAATTTTATTTATAAAGGAAGTGCTGGGAAATGAATTGTTTAGTAACGTGCCATAGCTCAGCAACGTGTTCAGCACCGAAAAGTAATTCAGCAGCACAAATTTAATCTGTGTAAGGCATGGTTCTTTGACCACAGAACTGGAGAACTAATCAGAGAAGACATTATGAAATGCATGCTTGTTTTGTATTTTCTTGCCAGGCATAAACGTGCTATGGGATGCAAGTCCTTAATAAAGTTAAAAGCACTGTGGATGGCAAGAGCTACTACAATAGTAGAGCAGGAGTAAATTAACAGGCAGTGTAGTAAGCAGTGCAACCATTTGGTTATAAATTTAATCTGTCAAAACTCTTGAGTTTCAGAAAAGTAAAGTCATACTGATTCTATGTTTTGGGCTCTAGGGGTTATTATTTCTGACTCTCAATCAGAGCACTAAACCCAGATTTGTGGTATGACACTCTTTCTTGTGGAGAATCTGAGCACACCAGCCATATTCCTGCCTGTCAAAGGAAAGGGAAACTTCTGAGTCAATCTTTGGAAGAGAGAAGCTCTACTATCACCATCTGTTAATTGAAAGAAATTGAGATAATATAAATTGGGAAGAAATGAAAAAGTCTTGAAATGAGACTCCTGGATGACATAGCAGTTCTCTGTCCAGTCTTTGAGAACTGTGGTATTTAAAGGATTGCCATTTGAAATTATATAAAGTTCTAAATGAAAATCAAAATCCTGGCCTGACCTTCATTTAGTGTAATACCATACCATAATGAAAGCAATATAGTAATATTTCACCTTGATAAAAAGAAATAATTATTTAGTTATGCCCAAAGTTTTTAAAACTAAATTCAGTGCAGCTTAATCATACTGCCCTTACAGAGCAAGAGAAAACTGAGTCTGTATCTTGCAAATGGATTAGATCTTTGGGTCATCATGCTAGATAGAGTAGGAATTGCTTTTGTATATATTGTATATCACAGACACACACATATATGAATACAAATGTGTGTAGACATAGATGCATACTTATGACCAGATCATATTCGTAGTGCTGAGCACTGCTAAACTGTGGCATAGTAGTGTCTTTGTAACTTTTTGTGCTTTCTCAGCAATAATTTTAATACCCTTCATTTCAAGGGGTTTAAGTTTTGACACCTTTCTGAACACTGACTCTATCACACAAATTGATGATGTCTAAATAATTCACTTGGCTCAGCTGTTAGGTTATCCCACACCTAGCAGAGTTGTGCCACCGCAGGGAGTAGGGGAAGAATGTGAAGAGGAGGGAGTGACAGAGAGCTTTTACATCAGTCCTCATCTCCCTGCACCCCCTGAGGATGGCTATGAGTTACTTTTGCCCTGCTGTGTTGAGAAGAGCACTGAGGAATTTTCTGAGTGGGCAACTGGCAGCCAGGTAAGGTTAAATCACTGCAATTGTCCATGCTGCCTGAAACAATACTAGTTTAGTCCTGTCTTATCCCTAATCAAATATTTTTTTTAATCTCAAGTTGGAGGAGTTGTGTGCAGATGGACTTTGGATTCCTCTCTCATATTTTGCATAATTTCACTATTTGTATCGATACCATATATAACTAATAAAAGACAAACACTATTACCCAAAGACACCACTGCATTTTAAATTCTGACTTTATGCTCTAGTGGTGAAGAGATTAGCCCAGAGGAGTAAAACCCGTGGCCACTTACAGTTCACAAAGATTGATTACAGTCTGGCCAAAGACATAACTTAGCATGGGTAGTCTCAAGTTGGAGTCGTGACTCCTGCAAATGAGGTCATTGCTAAACAATTTTATTTGGCTATAAGGCCATGGTAGCAAAAATTAATATGCAAGCCTTCAACACTGAGGCAATAGTAATTAAAAGTGAGTTCTTGGATTAATTTGTTTGCAAAATATTATAGTCTGAACTCGTATAAGATGGTTGTAAAACAATATAAGAACCCATGTTTCCACGTTTTCATTTGTAAACCTTCCATATGAGGGGATCAGAATTCAACAGTGTGGCAATGCTTGCTTGCCAGCAGGCAGGAATTACAGAAACAGAGAGGTTTATGCTGGAAAAGACCTATGACAAGCATCTGGTCCCACTCCTGCTTGAGACAGGGTTAAGTGAAATAAGACCAGGCTGTTCAGGGCCATGTCAAGGCAAGATCTAAACATTTCTAAGGTAAAAGGCTCCATAAACACTATGCATTGACTGCCTGCATAGTGATTTTCTTCTCCCCTCTGTGTCTTATTGGAATATCAGCTGCTGCAATTTATGTGTGTTGCCTCTTGGGCTTTGCCTTTGCAATTCTGGGAAGAGTCCATTTACCTTCTCTGCAATCATCCCTTAGATATCTGGAGGCAGCAATTAGAAATCCCTATCAGCTTGTCAGGCTCAATCAGTACTGGGACATCGGGTTACTTCACCCCAGTGCTGGACTTTGGACTTGTTGAACTTGGTTGAACATTATGGAGTTTATTCCAGGCCATTTCTATGCCTTTTAATGACGAGCACATCCTGTGACTGCAGACTGCCCTCTAGACATTGACTTCATTTGCTTCTACTTTTATTCCTCATATAATTACTTTTCTCATTCATTTCTCTTCTGCAGTCTTAATTGCATTTTTTTTTTTTTTAACTTTTGGCATAATCCTAAAATTTGCTTTTTACTTTAATTTCATTTGTGGATTGATAGGACTCCTGAAAGTTGGATTTGGAAGGTTTGCTACATGACTAAACTGATGAAATGGTATGATCCATTCAGGAAAAGAGTGAGCATTAGCCACTGTTACTAACAGTTTACTACCACCACTGCAAGTTGTGAATATTCACAGGTCATGGACACCCTGCAGCAAAGAAATTAATCACCTAAGGAAATAACGCAAAATTAAAAATAAATTAGATTACTCAGTTGAAACTAATAAAATCAGTTGCATGTTATTTTATAAACTGTAGTTTTATGACTCTACTTATGAACTTTATGAGCAAAAAAATACAACAAGATTTTAAAATACTTTAAATTATATAAAGGCAAATACTCTATTAAAGTGATAAAACTCAGAGAAAGATGACAACTTATTTAATGTTGATAATTTAGGTTTTTATAATTATTACTATAGCCATACAAGTGAAACTTCAGGTTAGATATTTTTAAAGAAATAAGCCATTGACAGGGTAGGATCCGAATGGCTTCACAATTTAGGTCATTTATACTGCATCCATATCTGCAACTCCACAGGTTTTGTAGCCTTATTGGGCTGCTTTTATATCCTTGCTTGATCAGGCACCAGCACAGGGTGAAAAGACTGCTGACATAGGAGGAGAGGGGTTGTTGTGCTCAGATAATTCCTCTACTACCCAGACTATCACAAACATACTTAAAACCTGATATTACAATAATGACTAGCTCTCTGCAGGTAAACATTTTGTCAGCCCCCACAGACTTGCACTGACCTATCAAAAAAATGAAAATCAGATTTCTTTTGACTGCTCTTTTCAGATGTCTAAGGTGTCTGTCTCTTTCCCTATGCAGACATCCAGAGAAGAAGACAGAAAACCAAATCAAAAATATGCTGTGAAGGTACAGAAAGGGATTATGAGCTATTTACACCAAAAGGATCAGTTTAAAAGGAGAAGTTTAAAATGGAGATCGTATGGAAGGACAACTTCTCAGTAACTGTAGAATCACAGACTGGCCTGGATTAAAAGGGAACTTTAAGATCATCTCATTCAACTTTCCTGCCATGGACAGGGACACCTTCTACTAGATGAGGTTGCTCAGAGCCCCATCCAGCCCATGCCTGTTCCTTACCACCCCCAAAGTAAAGAATTTCTTTCTAATATGTAATCTAAACCTACCATCTTTTAGTGTGAATCCATTCCTTCCAGGTGCTAGTAAATAGTCTCTCTTCATCTTTTCTGTAGGCTCCCTTCAGGTACTGGAAGGCCACAATTAGATCATCCCAATGATGTTCCAGGCTGTTCCAGGCTGAACAATTCCAATTCTCTCAGCCTTTCCTCATAGGAGAGGTGCTCCATCCCTCTGATCAGCTTGATGGCCCTTCTTTGGATGTGCTCCAACAGGTCCATGTTACTCCTGTGCTGGGGACCCCACAGATGGAGTGCAGTAATACCATATTAAAAAAAAAAAAAAAATGAGGATGAAAAATGTCCATGGTAGTGGTCACCCAGCTGTGAAACTTCATATGAAGGGAAAAACATGGACCTCATCTAAAAAAGTTATCAGAAGTTTTAGTTAGAAAAACTTAATTATTTGTGTAATTCATTATTAAATGTTGCTTGACTAAAAGTCACATAATATACATCACTAATGTGCTACTCTCTCTTCAAAGATCTTCTCGTGCATGTTTGACTCAGCAAGACATAACTCAGCAGAGGAGTTAGGGGAGCAGAGGAGTACATAGTCTTTGTATGCATCCTCTTTTCACCAGTTTCCAGAATAACCCAGCTTGGAGGACTTGTTGAATATTCTGTTTTCTGGAATGTTATTTCTTATCCTGAGGTTCTTAGAGAAGATCAAAAAAAT